ATGATGTCTTGTTTCCGAGTAATAGCCTCCTCTACCAACATGTTCACAGTATAAGAGATGAAGCTTCACCATCCTTGCTTCCAAGGAGCACTTCAGTTACCTTTTCCAAGACTTATCTGTTTGTTAGGACGGGATAGGGTTCAGGTTCTATAAGTCTATTGATCACAGGGTCACAATGAATCATACTCAACTCATCAGCACCTAACAACAACAACATCTCATCTGCTCTGGCTAGAACATCTGTCTGTGTTTGCAGTCTTCGTACCTGGAGCATGGTACAGGCTCGGAAGAGGTTTGTGGAATTGAATGAAGTATCTTTTTTTAACAAAATATAAGTCATGGTTCAGAATCAAATACAAACGTATCTTAACTGGTTGCTCTAAAACCTTGACTTATCATGACTTGTATTGTGGAAAAGCCTGTTGTGAGAGAATAATTTGTGATGTCTGTACTACAACAGATTCCTACACATTTAAAGAGTTAAAACACAAGGGTTTTACCATGCATTTCTGAGGTTCAGAAGTTCAGGTGGCATTTGCATGTTGAGATCAAAGTGTTGCCAGGACTAGTTCATTCTAGAGGCTGCCTGCATACTTTGACTTGCTCCATGTTCAGAGCCATCACATATCAATCAGATGAGCTCTCCAAATCTTGTTCTCTCTCAGATCTATGTATCTGCCATTATGTCCACTTTTGGCAAACTCTCTTGTCTCCCTTTTATGGACCCAGTGATGGTATGGGACCTGTCTGGATATCCAAGGGCTCCCAGGGGCGCACATGGCTAAGTGTTGGACTGTCAACCAAAAGGTTGGCAGTTCAAAGGCACCTGGAAAGGCAGGACTGGCATCCACTTCTTGAAAACCTAATGGAGCAATTCTCCGCACTCATGGGGTCAAATCAGAATTCCGAATTCAATAACTCACAACAACCTGCATAATCTAAGATAATCTCTCCATCTCAAAATCTGCAATCAAGTACCTTTTGTGTGTGAGGTAACATAGATTCAGGGGATTCAAACATGATCGTCTTTGGGGGTCATGGTTCTGTCTGCCATGGTGCCTTTTTCATAAATCAAGAGAGGAAAAGCCAAGCTCTCAGATCATCAGTTGAGAGATACTTGGATTTCTGTCTGAATCATAATGAGATTAGATCAGGCATCTATTTCTTTGTAGATGAAGTTGCTCAGCGTGTCTGCTGAGGAAGGGAGGCCTCGCTGCTTTCTCCTCCTCCACTCCTCCTAGTTTGGGGTTCTTCGCTATTTTAGGGTGCCTCGTGATATATTTCATGGGCATAAACCAGGAGACATGCACCTCTTATGACCTTGACAGTGAGCAAAGGAGACAACTTGTCTTCCGGGACAGGGATGAATTCCCCCAGGAGCCTGCTTCCACACTCCTCCACTGTCAGCGGCAACAGATTGTTCTTTCCTGATCAGTTAGCTAGCACCTGAGCGTAAAAAGGAAATGCTAAGACTGAAAACAGTTACCGGACTCCCCCAAACAAAGCCAGGGGCTCCTGAGCCCTCCTCTGGGGGAGATGTGAGTTCCATATGGCCGCCTTTGAGGTATTCTTTCCCTGGAGCCAGAGGAAAAGGAAGGTTAATAGTAAGATTATTTTTTTTAAATGTTCCTAAGAGGTTACATGTGACTAAATAGAGGACACAGACTGAAGTTTGTTAGAGAAGATCCATTGAGTCTTGACCATGGCCTCTTTCATCCACCCTGCTGGTCACCTTGGAATGGTGACCTAGGCTTGTCTATAATAGTGGAGGGTGAGGAATCTCAGAAGCTTACACCACAGGATGGTGGAGCTGACAGGGGCCTTGGAAATACTTTATTATTTTTTTTAAAATTTTAAAGCCCAAGGCTGATGGCTAGGTGGAACTAGTGATGATGCTGGAATTTGAGCTGCTTGAATCCTTATCCCGTGAACAGCACCAAATCACCTATGCTGGGGGGACAGACTTATTAACACTAAGAACTCCAGTTGTTCTCTGCCGTCGAATCAGAACAGACCCATAGCTGCCTCTCCAGCTAGTTTTCAGAGGTGGTAAATTGCACGGGAGGAAATCTCTCTTCTCTCCCCCTCCCCCCCCCACCCTTGGAGCAGCTGATGGCTTTGAACCACATGCTTTTGGGTTTGCAGCACGGCTTCTTACCACTAGGCCACCAGAGTTCCTTGGAGCCCCACGGAGTAACTTCCAAGGAGTTTAGACACAAGCAAGGTCTCAGGGGCTGAAGCAGTGAGGCAGACTGTGTTCCTAGTCCACATGGAGTCAGCAGCTTAAGTCATTGCTGTCGCATTGAAACCAACTCATAGTTGACCCTTGGGAGGGTTTTCAGAGGCTATAAATCACACAGGAAGAGATTACCCATCTTTCCCCTTAGCAGCAGCTGGGAGTGGATTTAAACTGCTCACCTTTGAGTTAGAAGCATAACACCCTCTCCATTAGGCCACTAGAGAACTCTCCATTTGGAATAGAGGTGTGATCTCTGGACAGTGCAAAAGGAACTCTGTGATGATCACCCAGTGAGGAAGAGAATGGTGCTGAGTGGGTTTGGTAACCCCACTTTCTAGAGAAGAGCTTCTCAGAGCACTGATGAAGGAGGGGACGAAGGAACAAATTTTGTTTGTTGCGCACCGTTGAGTTGGAACCAACCCTTAGCAGACTGTCCAGTGGGTTCACAGAGTCAGTAAATCACATGGGAGGAGGTCACTTATCTTTCTTCAGCTGGTAGAGCAACTAGTAGATTTGAACTGCACACCTTTGCATTGGCAGCCCAGTTCCTTACCACTAAGCTACCAGAGCTCCCTATTTATGATCCATCTAGGACGGTACCAAGGCCCCAGGGGACAGAAGGCTGGGCTTCCCTTCGGGATAATCTCCAAGAGTGAGTCCTCCTCATTTCTTTTGTAAGTAATATGTTGCCTTGATGGTGGTTCAGGTTAATGTGGAAGAGCCTTGGAGAACAGTGGGCAGGACTCCAAAGTGCTCGCTGCTCAAGGGCTGGGCCCAGCTCTTCACTCTGACATGTTCCCAGCCACACAACTGGTGAAGGAGCAGGGAGCTCTGGTGGCCTAGTGGCAAGAAGCTGCACTGTAATCCCTGAGGTCTGGGGTTCAAATCCACCAGATGCGCTGCTGAGAAGGAGGGGCAGTCCCCTCCTGTACCATTCAGATCCAGTTTAACAGTACACACACAAAAACTTTAAAATAAAAAAAAAATTAAAAAGAAAGGAAGGAGCACTCAGCAACATTTTTATTTGCACCTGCCATGTCCAGACCTGGACTAGGAGATGAGTAAGGCACACAACATCTTCGTGGACCCTCTCCTGAGTTGTGGGGACAACACACACACAAGGAGACACAGTGCCTTTAGGAACATGTAACATGTACAGGGACTCCTGGAAGAGGCGCTCATCTCACCAGGTGGCTCAGAGGTGGCCTTACCAGCTTCAGCTGAGCCCAAACAGCAGAGACATAGGAAGAAGATAGCAGAGACAGGTGAAATCCGGCCTGGAACATCTGAGTGGCAGTTGTTTTTGTTACTATGTACCATTAAATTGGAACTGACCCCCAGCTGACCCTCCAGTGGGTTTTCAGAGGCAGGAAAGCACACAGGAGGAGATTTCTTATCTTTCCCTTAGAGAGCAGCTGGTAGATTGAAACTACATGCCTTCAGGTTGGCGGTGCAGCAGCAGTAGGACAGACAAAACAGGACAGACTTGGGAATTGGATACGAAGATGGAGGTGGAGTTGAGGAGACCTACTGGTCCTAGTATGGATGCATCAACTGAGCTGGAATATGAGGAAGAAACGGAAGGTGGGGAAGACCAGATGAGGACAGGTTGAGTGGATTGTGCCTCGGACAGGCAGATAAATATGCCCCCTAGCCTGGAGGGGGCCTTTGGGTCCCTGTGGTGTGGTGGCTTTGGGAAGATGGCAAGGGTTAGAGGGACATCTTTGCTGGCCAGCCCACCTGTGTCTCCTGGAGTCTCCCTCTCCTGAGCTCCATCTTTTCTGACCAGAACTTCATGATGGCAGGTTGCCACCAGTGGATAGATCATCATGCTTCCCAAGGGAACTAGGATGATCGTGGGCAAAGTAGTTTTTAGAGTTTAGAAAGAGCTGTTAACAAATAAAAAGAAGTTCATATGTCGTTCTGCTTGCTGCCTCCAGATGCAAAGAAACCACTGGGGTTCTTCACCAGAGGGATTTATCTGGGCATTTATTTTTCATCAACACTTTGATCTCTACATTTGAACCCACCACCCTCCAATCACAGCAGTGAGCCTCTCCACTGAACTGCGTGGGGTTTCCAAGCAGTGTCACATCACTCTTGGTGTCTTTTCAGTCAGTGAATCGGACACTGAGACCCAGCACTAACGACAGTGATGTCGCTGCCATCTGAATGTGACAGTATTGAGCGGAATCACAGGCCTCTGATAGGACTTCAGGCCCCAGGCCGCTGTGTTCCTGCCTGCCCGGTGACTTGCCTGTCACCTGCCTCCAGCAGCTGTGGGTCAGATCCGTTCCCTGTGCACGTGTTCACCCATCAAGCCCATTGTTTTGCCTTGGCTACACTGCTGTGTGTGTGTGTGTGTGTGTGTGTGTGTGTGTGTGTGTCATTGTATCGCTCATGAAAATTCATGCTCATCCCAAGCCTATTTTCCATCCTGCGCTCATAACATTTGTAACATAACACTTGTTATTACGCTAGATAGAAGATCTCCTCACGATTCTTTGATGAGTTTGGCAGAGTAGATTTGGAAGTGCATTATCGTCATTTTGCAGAGAAATGAATTCACCCCGGATACGAGCCATAGGAAACCGCTCCTCCGTGTCAGGGAGCCTTTGAAATGCAATTTTGTCCCATAACTCATGCATCCACTGTTTGCCCCTGCCCTGCTGACTGCTAGCTCCATTAACTCCCATAGAAGCAGGGTGTGCATGGGGGAAACCTGCCGTTTCTAACATCCAGGCACATTTTCTTTGCACAGGGATTTTGCTTACGTGGCAAGGGACAAAGATACAAGAATTCTGAAATGTCATGTCTTTCGATGTGACACGCCAGCAAAAGCCATCGCCACGAGTCTCCACGAAATCTGTTCCAAGGTAGGGTGGGTCACTGTGCAGAGGCCCTGCTGAGCAGGCAGTGGGGTGGGAAAAGGGCGGGAGGTGGGCATGCCGACCCCGCACCGGGCAGAGTGGTGAGAAAGGGCAGGAGGTACACATCTGAATGCCTACTGGGCAGAGCAGTGAGAAAGGGCAGGAGGTGGGCATGCTGACCCCCTCCTTGGTAGAGCAGTGAGAAAAGGCTAGACGTGGGCCTGCTACCCCTGAACCAAGCTCAGGGGGATGCAGCAGGTGCTGGTCCAGTCAGCATCACCAGATGACACTGGACAGCATCACTGGACAACAGCACTTGTTATCTGTTGACGTCCAGCCCCATTGTGGAGGTATGAGAGGGGCAGAGCAATGGCAGGAAGGGGGACACAGCTGGACAGTGAAGGGGAGTCAGGGCCAGCATTCTCGGACAAGGCCACTTCAGCAGACCATGAAAGCAGGTGGAAAGGCAAGGAGGACAGACCCGCAGGGTGTCTGGAAGTGCAGACAGCTGGGTGTCACCTTGAACACCTGCTGGATGTCATGGGCTCTCACATCAGCTCCTGGAGACTCCTGGCAGCGCTGCGGTGGGGCTGCAGCCACTGTCTCATGCTAGAGGGTCCCACTTGAGTCACAGAGTCTCTGACGTCTTTCCTCTGAACAGAGGGCCTGACATCACCAGTGCCACTTCCATCTGTCACCCAGCACGCTGTTCCCAGTGCTGATCCCTGTATCCTCTGCCCGGCACCTCCATGCCAAGGCTTCTGACATTTCAAGAGGCCGCTTTACCACTGGGAAGCTCTGGCTGTTAGCGTTCCTCTTCCCTAGAACTTGGTATATAGAGAGTTGCACTGCCAACCCAAAGGCAAGTGGTTCAAGTCCACCAGCTGTTCCAAGGGAGAAGAAAGGTGGGTAATGTCTTCCTGTGCTGTTTACTGTCTCGGAAAGCCCGCTGGAGGGTCAGCTGGTTCAAACTCTGAGTTAGTGAGAGAGCAGCTCGGTGTAGGGAGCCCTGCTGATGCCGCCCATAGTGCACGGTCCGTGTACTTCACAGCCTCACAAACCTAATCTCATGGAAGGTCAGCTAGGAGTTGGGTCCGACTCACCAACAGTGAGGGGGCTTTAGAACCTCTTTATATTCAGGTGAGACCTGCCAACTGCTACAGCAACAGACAAGACTCCATTCAACTTGTCTTCTTGCTGGATGTGTTTTAGAGGCAGTCAACAAACACCTGATGTCGAGGCTTCCTGCTTCTAATCCCTCCTTTCTCTAGTATCTGCGGCTGCTTCATGTCACGTGGTACCCCGGCTCCTGAGCGTCCCCAGTGGGCACACCATGGTTGGTGTCCCCCTGGTGGACACATTATTCAGAAGTGAGCCAGCCAGGAACAGACGAGAGCTGCTCTCCCTTTGACTTCCAAGAGTACAGTCTTGGGGTTTTTTTTAATATTATCAGCATCCCATATCACCTCCTGGTGTGCGTGCAGGTGGTACTTGACCAAACTCTGCAGAATACTTTCAAAATGACTTCTCCAGCCACTTCCCTTTCTCCCCCTTTATAATTTACCAAATAGCAATGTAGCACTTAGCCATCACCTTGTTGAATGTCACTTTTCTGGTTTGAGGCTGAGATCAGGCCCCAGCCTCATTTCCCCCATATCCTCCTGAGCTAAGGAGGCTGGGCATGGCCCAGTCCTGTATCTGAGCATGCAAGGAGAGAGACAGTGGACGTCACAGAGCCTGCAGAAGGGGCAAGAAGAGAGCTCTCCAGCCCCCAAACCAAGGAGGACAGTAGCCTTGCTGTGATGCTCATCACGGGCTGGCCGGTCTGGAGTGTACCGTCTCTGTTCCATGCTGTGGTCTTGTGATTATGGGGCTGGGGCTGGTCTGGAGCGTACCATCTCTGTTCCATGCTGTGGTCTTGTGATTATGGGGCTGGGGCATGGATGCACCTGCTGCCCCCACGTGCAGCATGGCGTGCGCTATTTGGCTTCATTTTTGGTTCACTCACACAGCAGTGCTATGGAGCACCATTTGTGTGCCAGACACTGGGCTGCAGCAGAGACCAAAACAGAAAGATTCATGCCCTTGTGTGTTGTGGTGTATAGTCCTCAGAACATGGCTTGGCACAGAGTAACAGAGACCAAACCCATTGGCCTTGAGAAGTTCCCAGTGCATGCCAGCCCTGTGCATTACGGCGGTATAGAACTACTCCCTGGGGTTTTATTACAGACGCAGTCACCAGGCCTTTCTTCCATGGCACCACTGGGTGGGGGTTTGAACCTTCAGCCTTCGGATTCATAGTCAAATACAAATCATTTGTGCCACCCAGGGTCCTTGGTATAGAGTTAAGTGCTCAAGAAAGATTAGAGGGGTTTTTTTTATAAGCAGCCTTCTTGCCCACTGTTTCAGTTACAGATTGGGAGATGAGAGGACTGGACCTGTTGAGGGTGTTAACTTTCTTTCTACCTGGAATGAGAAGTTTAGGCTGGCATGGAGATGTGAGTTACTTTTGGAGTCAAAGCTCAATGGATTTCTTGCAATCCATAAACCCACCATGCACCTCTGGTCTCCTCAATCACCCAGCACACTATCTTGGAGCTGTTACAAGTCACCTTTTCCTTCAATCATCCAGCAAACAAAACCTTTAACTGTGATTTCTCTGACTACACTTTGCCAGTCTCTTCACCCACCTCCACCACCATCTTTCACAGTGTGGAAAGGGCTCTTTTATATTGGTCCCACAGCTGTTGATGATTGTAAGACCATGTGTCCACAGTTAAGATACCTGGAGACCAAGCCTCCAGTGGGGGCTAATGCAATGAATAGAAAAGCCAGTTTTTAAAGTTTCTGACACCACACCCTGATTTGGTGTAAAGTCACTTGTTTAATCCTCATGACAGCCCTATGACAATGACACTCTTATCATACCATTTGCAGATGATCACATGACACACATAGAGGTCAGGTGGCTTGCCCAAGGTCACACAGTTTGTAAATGGTGGAAGTGGAATTGAATCAGGTAACGTGTCTGTCCAGAGAAGAAGGCACTGAAAGTCGGCATCTGCACTCGATTGGACTGATCACAGTGGCCAGCAGGTCCCCCGCATAAGTAGGGAGATTGGGCTGGGGGATCAGCAGCAGTGTTTGGAACCACTTGAGTTGAGAAAATAAATGCTCAACAATTCAGAGACAGCTATTTATTTGAGAAATAATCACATGCATGTCATCCCTTTACAAGTTTTCATAAAATAAGGAGGGCAGAGACATAGGGCATGGGCTACCAGAGTAATAGAATGAAGCGTCATCGTAGTAGAATTGAAATCCGTAGAACTGAGAAACAAACGCCGGCGTAGGAACAGCTGAAGACACGGAGCCTGTGACCGTGAACCTAAGCTCTGTGTGTGTTGCCTTCATCTGTAGATTATGGCCGAACGGAAGCATGCCAAAGCCTTGGCCTGCAGTTCCTTACAGGAGAGGACCAATGTGAATCTCGATGTTCCTCTGCAAGGTAAGACGGGTGGCAGCTTCCCTCTTCACCGGGGCCCTGAGGGTGCCAACTTTGCAGAGCGATCTCAGGAGTGTCCCTGCTCATCCTCAGCACACGGGCTGAGCATCCACTGGGGGTCCTGCAGCCCCCTAGGGTCTTGGTGAGCAGGATGAGTCACAGGGTGAGCCCTTGCTGATGTCAGTACCGTGAGAGAATGTTGTTTCTGGTGGTTTTTCCCCTTACATGCAGCCCGAGTTAAGGGATGACTTTGGGCGCTTTCTTTAGTTATTTTCCTCTTTTCTCTGATTGTGTTCTTTGTGATTATATTACCCCCCAGCGGTAACCACAACATTATTTCTGTTGCTTTTATCCCTCACATGCAGCCTGAATTAAGGGATGACTTTGGGGCCCTTTCTTTAGTTATTTTTCTTTTTTTCTCTGATTGTGTTCGTCGTGATGACCTCAGGCAGTAACCACACCTCACAGATAGGACATCAGAAGCTGTTACTTAGCGCACATCAAAAGGCAGTAACAGTGTTCACACACAGATCCCAGCTCCTGCTCTCAGACAGCCGCTTTCCTCCCTGGAAATGAGAGCAGAATGAGAATGAGACTGCCAGCAGCCTCGGGGCCTGGAACACGTGATGCTGTTCTCAGAGAACCACGGGCACGCTTCTCTCCAGGCACTGGGGACACCTGGCACAGATGGCGTCCTGGGCGTTTCAGGAGGCCGAGAGAAACGGCTTTCTTATGTACGCACCGGGACCACTGAGAAAGATGTGTTGTTTTTGTTCCCTGTAGTAGATTTTCCAACACCAAAGACGGAGCTGGTCCAGAAGTTCCACGTGCAGTACCTGGGCATGCTGCCTGTGGATAAGCCAGTCGGTAAGTAATACACTTACGTCTTCTCTTGGCATGCGCTTGGCAGCTCCTGGGAAGCGCCTGCCCTGCTCGGAGGGCGGGGACTCTTGCTTTACCCCCTTGCTGCTGCTGCTGCTGCTGCTGCTGCTTGAATCGCACCCTGGCACTGTCCTGGCGGGAATATGCAAACAGTCACTGGAGCAATAGAGGACACGCTCAGCTGCTTGACGTGTGGTCCCAAGAATGGGAAAAAAAAGAAGCAAGTTGCTCCCGAGTCCATTCCAACCCTGAGCAACGCCACATCAGAGCAGAACTATTTTCAATAGCTGATTTTTCAGAAGTAGATCACCATGACTTACTTTCCAAGTGCCTCTGGGTAGACTTGAACCTTCAGCCTTTCGTTAAGCAGCTGAGTGCTGAACCAATCACATGTATCCCGGAGCATGCAGAGACTTGTTTAGATAGACATGGGTTCCTCCAACGCCCACCAGCCTAGAAATGCAGGTGGTCGAAGGCTCCACCTGTCTCAACATGGGGCCTCCAGCGCTGAGGTTAGGCTGCTGGTCAGCTGGGGGACCCAGAGCAAGGACTGCAGCATGGACCTCCTGCTCTCCTTCTAAGGATGAACCTCAGGAGGCGGGGGACCGGGGGACCCCCCCAAAGCTCACATCTCAGTGACAGATCTTAATGCTTGGCTGTAGCGAGTTGCAAGGAAAGCCGTACTAGAAAAGGCTTCAGGAAAGACCAGCAGGCAGTCCATAGTGTCCATGTGAAAGTGTCTTCCACGTTTGTCTTACTTAAATAACTGAGCAGAGAAAAGAGCTGGGTCTCTGCCCCAAGGCTCCCCGCTTAGAAAAAGACAGAATTTGTTTGCTTCAGTACTCGTGTAAACACTTGGGGGGATCGTTGATACACAGGGGGGATGTTTGGGGAGACATGGATGTGATGGTCTGATTGGAAATGACATCGCCCATTTTCTATCTCTGGAGGCGTTCATGAACCTCCTTGCTGACGCGTCCTTGTTTTATTGGGGGGGATCCCTGTGAAAATGAAAGGTTTAGGTTCATTTCAGAAAATTCCACTAAGGACAACTCTGTCTTGAGTGTCTTGCCTTCCAGAGCTGGGAGAAAGGCCACAGTGTGCTGTGACTAAGTGATGGGTAGTGATAAATAGCTCCAGGACTCGTTTCAGTTCTCTCTTCCCTCCGCAGGAATGGATACCCTGAACAGTGCCATAGAAAATCTCATGACCTCATCCAACCAGGAGGATTGGCCATCGGTGAACATGAATGTCGCCGATGCTACGGTGACTGTCATCAGTGAAAAAGTAAGCTGGGATAGTGGTTGCCGTTGGCCTTTCTGAGGTACTAAAGATTTGGATATAGTTCCCTTCCCTGAGCTTAGAAACAGAGCCAAGCTTTACCTCCTAGGGCGTTGAGGCCTACAATTTCTTTTTTAAAAAATTATTTTAATCTGAGGCCTACAATTTCTTTTTTAAAAAATTATTTTAATCTCTGCGTGTATCCTCATCTGTGCACACCTTGGCCACCATACACTCAAAAGCATCTCTTCTGAGCCCCCTGATTTCTTTCTTCCTGAATATGCCTCAGATGGTGGTGTGACACTGTTGGGGGTTTTTGGTTTTGATTCTCAGCTCCAGAATTAACTGGGTAATTTTTGTCTATGGTTGTGCTTTATGAGATGGCCTCATGGGTAAGGAGTTGTACTGCCAACCCACAGGGAGGAGGTTCAAATCCACCAGCTGCTCTGAAGGAGAAAGATGAGCAGTCTCCTACACTGTGACTTACAGCCTCTGGAAACACACTGAAGGGTCAGCTGAGTCATTTCTCACTTGACAGCACAACTTCCACCTGTTACAGAAGGTTGGTGGGGGGTTCCTTCAGTAGCAGGGGCCATCACTCATCTAGAGAGTGGCCAGCATTAGCCTAAACCCAAATCATGCCCATCTTGTGCTTGCAGAAGCACAGAGAGGTTGTGTAACTTGTCTAAGATTACACAGCAGCAAAGTAGCAGGGCTGGGATTCAAATCCTGCCAGCGTAGCACTTTTCCACCTCTTTGCACTCATGCCAAGTTGACAGATGCCTCTTGACCCCAGTTTCCCCGAAGCCTGAGGTTCTAAAAGGTTCACAGTTCTCCCAGCACCCAGGTCCTCGGCCTTTTCAGCTGGGTCCTTGCACAGGCTCTCCTCTGGTGTCTGCCACCTAGCCCTTACCCTTGATCACACCTAAATCATCTCTTCCAAGAAGCCCTTCCGGCCCCTCCGACGAGGTCAGGGCTGCCTGTTAGACATTCTCATAGCATCTGCCATACAGGAGGTGTCGTCCCCAGTCCCCGTGAGTTCCTGAGAGCAAGTCTTTCCTCACATGGGCTTGGATGTTGGCTCTGGGCTCAGACATTTCAGTGAGCCTCACCTGAGACAAGATGCCAATGGTCCAAACAAATGTCTACATTCTGGGTTCTTGTTGTGTAATGGCAAGTCTGAACCAACCCTTAGCTGACGCTCCAGTGGGTTTTCAAAGGCAGTTAACCACAGAGGAGATTTCTCATCTTTCTCCCACAGAGTAACTGGTGGATTCGAACTGTATGACTTTGGCTTGGCAGCGCAGCCACTTACCACTAAGCCACTAGAGTGTTGCACATGATCATTACATAGGATGTGGTGTTCAGACCATGAAAATGAGTCCTGAGCAGTTCCTTAGACTGCCCCATAGGCCAGTCCAAAAAGAAAACATGCATATGTGTCTATATATGGACACGTGTGTGCATATGTGTTTATGTACGTGTGTGTATGAACATATGTGTACATACATGTTTGTGTGTGGACACTTGTGTATCTCTGTGTTTATGGATGTGTGTGTGTGTGTGTGTGTGTTAGAGTGTTGTTGTAGTTATGTACCTTCAAGTTGGAACCAACACACAGCTGACCTTCCAGCAGGTTCCTGAGGCAGTAAATCACATGGGAGGAAATCGCCCATCTTTCTCCTGCAGAGCAGCTGGTGGATTTGAACCACATGCCTTTAGTTTGGCAGTGCAACTCCATTACCACTATGCCACCAGAGCTCCCGTGTGTGTGTGTGTGTACACATACATAAGTACATACGTGTGTGTCTGTAGAGATGATGGTTATGTGAGGTCAAACGTGACTCCCAGTGATCCTGTATATAACAGACTGTGTCCTTACACATAAGATTTGACAACCTTTGGCTGATTTGGTGACTGTTTACCTAACTTTAGACGGAAAGGTGGTCCATGTGCCTTTCAGCTTGGGCAGGACCTGGATAAAAGCGATATCACAGGTCCTTTCCTCTTGTTCCCTGGGGCTCCCTGTAGGCTCAGGGAGGCCCAGGTGCCCTGTGTGGTAGGTAGGAAGTGTAAACGGCATCGCCCGTGCCCACAGGGAGCCCACAGGCTCAGCGTGGAGTGGTGACAGACACACACAGTTACACAGCCAGGCAGTCAGAGCACAGTGAAAAGCCAGCACGAGGGGCGACAGCGGTAAGGGCCACTCCAGGCACATGCACGAGTTTGCCCTTCTGGAAGGACACTCATCTCCTGTGAACTGAGGCTGGTCACACTGCTGCATCCGGCCCACCTGGTCCGAGGCTGTGAGGTCCGACAGCGTGTGGGGGCGCTGTCCACAGGCTCCAGGGACGGGTGGACACTGAGCACGGTCTCTTGCAGAGTGAAGAGGACATCCTCGTGGAGTGTCGCGTGCGCTTCCTGTCATTCATGGGCGTCGGGAAGGACGTCCACACATTTGCCTTCATCATGGACACTGGGAACCAGCGCTTTGAGTGCCACGTGTTCTGGTGTGAGCCCAATGCAGCCAGCGTGTCGGAGGCGGTCCAGGCCGCCTGCATGGTGAGTGCCCCGGGGTCTCCAACGCTGCCTTGCCTTCTGGACCCCAGGAGTGAGAACTGAAATATAACCCTACACTGACCATTGTAAATATTTAAATACTTTTTCATTCTTGATACAGGCCATGGTTTTTGCAGTCACTTGTTATGCATCAGAGAGTTGGACAATGACTAGGGAGGATAGAAGGAGAATTGACGCCTTTGAGCTGTGGTGCTGGAGAAGAGTATTGAATGTACCATGGACTGCCAAGAAAACAAACAGATTCATCGTAGAGAGAATTAAACCAGGCTGCTCCTTGGAGGCAAGGATTCTGGGGCTTCATCTGACATACTTTGGACATGTTGTAAGGAGAGACAGGTCTTTAGAGAGGGACATCATGCTGGGTAGAGTGGAGGGACAGCGCAGGAGGGGAAGACCCTCTATGAGGTGGATTGATTCAGTGACTGAGGTACTCGGGATGGGTTTGTCAGAGGCAATGAGATTGGCGCAGGATAGAGCAGGGTTTAGGGCTGTTGTATATAGGGTCGCTATGAGTCGCAAACGACTCGATGGCATATAACAACAACAACAATCCTTAGTTGACTATTTTAGAGAGAGAGAGAGGAAAAAGTCACATTTCTAAAGGAATGCTTTACTTTCTAACACCTTCATTCCTATGGAAATAATACATTGTAATAAGCAATTCTTCTGGACTGCCAAGAGAACAAACAAGTCAGTCCTAGAGAGGGTGAAACTGAGTTTGCTCCTCAGGGCATAGGAGTTGAAGCTCCGTTTCACATTCTTTGGGCACATGGCCAGGACAGACCAGTCCTTGGAGAAGGACATCGTGCTCAGAAGGGTGGAGGGACAGCGCAGGAAAGGAAGACCCCGGATGAGGGAAATTGACAGTTACTGTGGCAGTGGGGTCGGGTTGTCAGAGATGGTGAGATTGGCTCACTATGGGCAGGGTTCAGGGCTGTTGTTCACAGGGTTGCAGTGAGTCGAAGTCGTATGACAGCACCTAACAGTAACAACAACTACAACATCTCAAAAGGCCAGGACACCTGGGAGAAAGAAGCTAGCGCCCCAACACTAGATCCTGCAGACTCCAGGAGCACTAAAGAGCATCTGGGAACCCTGTTTATTGAGCACCTTACATTTATTAGACATGAAAACTTAGAGATAATTCTTTCTCTTTGTTGTCGTTGCTGTGTACGGTGGAGTTGGAACTGACCCACAGCTTACCCTCCAGCAGGTTTTCAGAGACAGTTAATTGCACAGGAAGAGATTGCCCATCTTTCTCCCACAGAGCAGCTGGTGGCCTCTGGGATTGCAGCACAGCTTCTCCCCAGGTGTCTTGGTTAGCTAGTGCTGCTGTTACACAGATACCACTAAGGAACAAACATTTGGGTTTTTTTTCTGTTTTGAAGCCTAAAAACTCCAATCCAGGTTTTGGCTGCATGGGCCCCTCTGCCAGTAGCCCTGGGAGGTCTGGGGATCTGTGGCATCTGTCCTCCCATTTGTGGGCCAGTCCGTCACATTCTTTTATTATAGCCATTCAGAAGTGAGTGTGTCTGAGAAACACACTGTATTGGAATAGGAGCCCTGATTGCGTAGTGAGTAATGTCTTGGGTTGCTAACTGAAAGGTCAGTGGTTCAAATCCGTGATCTGCTCAGTGAGAGCCAGATGGGCAGTTTCCTCCCATAATAATGTACAGACTTGAAAACCCACTAGCGGCCAGCTGTGAGTCAGGAGCATCTCACAAGCGGTGGGTCCACTGGGTCCATGAGTACGGACTCATTAATACAGTGGACTAGCGGGAAGACATTGTGTTACCAACCCAAAGGCACGTGGTTCAAGTCCACCAGCCGTCCTACAGGAGAAAGATGAGCAGTCCCCTTCCATGCGATTTACAGCCTCTAAAAAGTCAGCTATAAATTGATTCTGACTCCACAGCATATAATATTAATATAACAAAGAAAACCAAGCAAACTAAGACCTGGAGAAATAAGGGTTCGGGTTTCAGCACATACTTGGCAGAGGGGAGTACAATTTGGTTCGTAACAGAGAGGATGGGCTGCAGTACCACACACCTGAGAGTTAACAAGCCTACGTCTCTAATTTGTTTCATATGTAATCGGGAACTATTGCTCATGCGTGGGTTGATCCTATTCGGAATCAATTCTGTACTTAAAAAAACAGCATAATTAATAGTTCTGGAAAGGATTCAGTGATGCTCTCTCTCCTGTGCCTTTTTCAAACGCCTCAGGAGGAATCCGTGAAATACACTGCAAACCTAGCTTTCATTCTGTTCTCTCCACACTGCCTCACCACCCTTCTTATTCATGCTGGATGGCTCACCGGAGGTGATTAACAAGGAGCAACGTGGAAATGTTTTCTCATGGTTTCCAGTTTCAGTAAGAAAAGCATATAATACTAGCTTTTGCTAATAAGCAATGAAATAGTGTAGTGTTGGACTGAAAGAGCAAATAGCCCAAGAAGCCTGAGTAATAACAGGGGAGAGAGACAGAGATATACCTTAGCCCTAAATCGAATTAGGGCCTTACTTGGTGGTGGTGGTGGTGGCGGTTGGTGGCTGTCGAGTCGAGCGTGACTCATAGTGACTCTATGAACAAAATACCTGAAGCCTTTCTAGCACTAGTGTCATTTCTCAAAGTTCATAGAGTTTCCAGATTGCTTTAATTATTTTACTTGAAATCCTTTCTAGTCCTTGTCATCTCCATTTCTGTTTTCTCTTGAGCCTACTCCACACTAACATTCGGATGGATACCCTTGACTGGACCAGGTTTAGTGGAATAGTGGGCCAAGTGTTAGTGTAGATTTTGTGGAATAGTGGGGCAACCCAAATGGAGGTGAGCCCCTTGTCCTGGGCTCTTAGTTTTCTGCATATGGTTCCCGCTTCAGAACAGCTCTGCTGCCTCATCGTCCTCAGCCTAAAAACTGCGCTGACAGAGGGGTTTACCTTTAGGTTGGGGAAACAGTTTCTCTGAAACAAGTCAGAAAGGAATCTTGTGGCATAATCTAGTCCATAGTGCGTTGCTCTGCTAGCCCAATGGCTGCACATCTTCAGGGGTTCAAATCCACCAGCAGCTCTGAGAGAGCACAAGGGGCAATCTTCTTCTGATGCAGTTTACAACCTCAGAATCCCAGCCAAGTTGCCGCGAGTCAGAATTGACTCCAGGAAGTTGAGTTGAAAAAGTGCTGAGAATCCAAGAGTGGAGAGGCTTCGATAGAAGGGAAGTTGAGGGAGCTCTCAGCTTTGTTGGGTGCAGGTAACTCCAGCACACAATGACCCTGTGGACAGTGGATCTGAACCCTGCCTGTGCCATCCTCATCACCTCTGATAAACTTGAGCCCATTGTTACAGTCGCTGACCATGTCAGTCTATCTCATTGAGGGTCGTCTTCTCTCATGCGCAGACCTTCCACCTTCCAAGCATGATTTCCTTTTTCCAAGAACCAGCCGCTCCTAACAACGTGGCCAAAATAGGTGAACTTGTCACTCTCACTGCACTTTCTCCAAGTCCTGTTTGTTCTTTTGTCGGCCCGTGGGATATTCCGTACTCTTCTCCAACACAACTGTGGAACGAGGCTAAGTTAAGAAGAGGGAAGACTGTGAGTGGCAAGGATGAGGAGCAAGGAAAGCGAGGCGATGAAGTTTTATCTTAAAATACTTTTGAAATGAAGGGAGAGAAGGGTGGGAATACATACTGAATAACGTCCAAAGTCCCCGCGTTGTGCCTTCATTGTCCTGATTAATTCTCGCCAGTCCTTTGCTGGTATCCTTTTCCCCTTAATTGGTGGGAAGCTAGGATTCAAGCTCAAATCTGTCGAAAGATAAAGGAGCAGGGCTGGGTGTAGGGGGTGAGGGTGGTACCAAGTGTCAAAATCAGCCCACCCACAAGCATAAGAAAAGTGAGAGGGGAAAGATTATGTGAAGAAGAAAGTAGAAAGTGGGCGATCCCAGCCACGCATAAATGGAGGATGATTGTTTAGGTATTTTAAGAAACTGAAATGTATCCTAACAGATGGTTTTAATCCAAAAATGAATGGGCTTTCCGCCTTAATTATTCCTTTAAATGCTGATGGCAATTCAGTAATTAGCTTTATCACTGGTTGCAGTGCATTTTCTGATTCCTGGCCTCATCATCTTTCTTTGGAATGAATTTTGTTCATTTGCCTCCGCTGCTGTTAATCACGTGGGTGCAAACAGCAGCAGAGGCCCAGTGGAACAGTCAGAGGCTCTCTGAGAAAAACCAGGCCCTTTGGCCACTTTGAACCATGTGTTTCTAACCCACTGACGGTCTTCTTGACTCTGGGCTGCATGAGTCTCTCAATCTATACCTGAACTACCAATGGCATTACTCTGAAATCAACGTAACTTTAAGTGTCTCTTGAAGTACTGTGGGCAAGCCCAGCTGAAGGTATTTTGGTCACACTTGGAAGGGCCAGAGCAGGCTCCTTTGTGCCATCCACCTGTCACATATATTTATGGTTCCCCAAAGAACACAGCATAGGAAAGGTGGATGTTCACCTCAAGTCCAGTGCCCAGGCTGCCGCACTGGACTCTGTGTGTGTGTGTGTGTGTCTGCCCTTGGTTATGATGCAAGATGCCTTACACAGAGGTGATGGAAGCAATGGTCAAGGACTGACTCTGTGGCCAGTGGTGCAGCTGACCATGTCTAACCATATCAGCATTTCAGAATTCTTAGGGGAAACATCAGCATGTTCCACAGCCACTGTGAGGTCTGTTAATAATGAAGGTGATTTTTAAAAACCAGCCCTGGAATTATTCTTGGTAAGTTTTACCTTTTTGTTTAACATGTTGCCGCACACTTTTAAATTGATGACCATCCTTAGAAACACATTTTTTTTTTCAATTGTTTATGACTGCCATATGAAATTGAGCGTCAGTCGTATGTTTGGAAGTGAAAATTAAAATGTGCAAGACGGCTATGTTGTTGTTGTTATCTGCCGTCGAGTCATAGCAACCCTATGTACAACAGCCCTAAACCCTGCTCTATCCTGTGCCAATCACACTCTTTCTGACACACCCATCCCAATTACCCCAGTCACTGAATCAATCCACCTCATAGAGGGCCTTCTCCTCCTGTGCCATCCCTCCACCCTCCCAAGCATGATGTCCCTCTCCAAGGACCTGCCTGTCCTTACAACATGTCCAAAGTATGTCAGACGAAGCCCCAAAATCCTTGCCTCCAAAGAGCAGCCTGGTTTAACCCTCTCCAGAACGAATCTGTTTTCTTGGCAGTCCGTGGTGCATTCAGTACTCTTCTCCAGCACAGCTCAAAGGCATCAATGCTCCTTCTGTCGTCCCTAGTCATTGTCCAACTCTCTGATGCATAACAAGTGATGGCAAAGACCAAAGCCTGTATCAGACGCACCTTAGTCTCCAGAGTGGCACCATTGCTCTTCAGTACCCTGGAGAGGTCCCTAACAGCAGACTTTCCCATCGCAATATGTTTTTGATTTCCTGACTACTGGTGCCTAGAGTGTTGACTGTGGAGCCAAGTAAACTAAAGCTGTGAACAATCTCGATCTCTTCAGCATCCATCCTGATGCTGCCAATTGGCCCAGTGGTGAGAATCTTTATCTTCTTGATATTGATCCTCAATCCATATTGAAGGCTACAGTCCCTGACCCTCAGCAGCAAGC